ACCCCTAATGCCGGGCCCTAGTTTGAGAGTACCACCCTCAACACAGGATGCCCGAAGAGTTACATGTTGGCCACGTGCGCGTTCGAAGTCTGATGTAGGTGCTGTAGGGGCCTAAATAGTTACCTATACGATTTTGGGGGTTCCTTATTATAACTATAGTATGTAATTACCCCAAAACCCTATTGTAATTCTCAAGCCCTCTACAGTACCTGGAATGTCGAAGGACGGTTCATCATGCCGGGATCCCTGAAAGCCCCATCTATTCTCTCTCTTGATCTGCGAAGATCTGCCGCTTTAGCCCGACGGAAACGCAAGAGATCCCTGAAGGACATTGATAGCGAGGAGTGGTTTCAGCTGCTACGCGACACGGAGCCAAGCAGCGCAGATAATTTGTTTAGCATGTTGCGCACCCGCTTGAGTGATGCTGGCCAATCTTTGGATGCCAGTCCGATAAGTTTGGCAAGGCGCTTGGCAAGGTCAGCAAACTTTGTGAGAGCACATGGTGAACTGGGGGAACACCTGGCGGCCGAAGGTGCCCCGATCGTGAAGCTGCCACGCAACCATCGTTTTGACACTTAGCTGTCCATTTTCTATTCTGATAGGATGATCCCATCGGACAGTGAAACAGCTTCCCCTTTTTTGAAACCTTAGATGCCAAGCTGTTGCCGGCGCTATCTGCAAGTTGGCAACGCACTGTTCAATGGCTTCAAGGCTGCCGATTGATGCCGTGCAAGACGTGCGACCGCGTGAACCCTGCACCTTAAACCCCGAAGAAAACCAGGAACCCAGAACCCTAAGGCCCAGAACCCCCAGAACCCCAAACCCTAGACATGAATCCATCAACCCTCCAAACCCCTTACCCTTTACCAAACTCTAAACCCTTAAACCCCCCGTAAAGTCCCTTAAACCCCTTACTTAAATCCCCTAAACCCTGGCCTCTAAGCCGTTCTGTGGTCTCCTCGTCCGCTCTGACGCCCCAAAACCCCTGCAAAGGCCCTGGCTCGGGGTTGCTGAAGATTGGGTTTGGGGTTCTTTAGGGTTTAAAGTTCAGGGGCTTGGGGCTCTTAGGGTTTAGGGTTTAGGGTTTCTCGTCTAGGGCTCGTAGGGTTCAGGATTTAGGGGTTTCGGGCTCGTAGGGCTTCGGGTTTATATCGCCCCAAAGCCCCCAAAATTAGGTAAAATATTGGGTCCAGGTAGTTCCGGTTCAGGATTTCAGGTCTCTCAGAGTTTAGGGCGCTGGCAGCTCCGGCTTTCGGAGTTTGGGAATTTGGTAGGGGCTCGAGGTATACAACATAGGGTTTAGGGTTTAGGGTTAAGTTTGGGGGTGCAGGGTTCACGGTTCACGGTTCAATGTCTGGGGTTCAGGTTTCATTGTAACCATATAACCATATCAGTGTGCAATATATATATATATATGGGTAGTTTTCTAAATTAGGGTCCCCTTTTAGGCCGCTAAATAGTACGGCACCCTTAGAAAAAGGACCCCGAAAGGGACCCTAATTTAGAGAATTACCCATATGTAGAATATGATCATCTCATATTCAACTTCCCGGGGTGTATAGGTTTCGGCCCCACAAAGCGAATCCGCTCTGCACCCAGGCAGTGGTTTCGCCTGAAGACTGGCACCAAGATCCGCGCTCCGTCTGTATTTCGATACCTAATATAGGGGGGTTTAGGGTTTAGGGTCTAGGGGCCTTGATAATTTCCTGTGCTATTTTTGTTTTTTGGCGGGGGGTTCCTTTCTTGTAATTATAGTATAGTATACCCCAAAACCCTACTCTAATTATTAAGGCCCCTATCCCAGAACGTTGCAGGTGTGTTTGTTTCGAAGGGAGATGCACAGAGGGGCAACTTGCAGACAACAGCCGCCCCCTTTTCGTCTGTGTTGCATCTCAATGTGCGAAAATGTTGAACCCCAGGCCCAAGCCCTCATCCCACTGTCTGAACAAAAACTTATCCTTCTAATCTCGTTCTTGCGGGTTCCTTCTTATACTTACACCATCGCACTTGCCCAAAACCCTACTCGAACTGTTAAGGCCATGATCTTAGCCATCCCTAAACCCTAAAACCCTAAACCTTAAACCCTAAAACCCTAAACCCTAAAACCCTAAACCTTAAAACCCTAGAACCCTAAAACCCTAAAACCCTAAACCCTAAAACCCTAAACACTACTTCCGGAAACCCAGCATCCATTGAACCGGAGGCCCAGGAAGCTCCTGCACCGGAAGGCCCTAATAGGGGCCTTAATAGATTAGAATAGGGTTTGGGGGCCCTTTACAGGGATCTAGAAGGGCTCTATAAAGGGATCTGTAACGGGCTTTGGGTTTAGGGTTTAATATAGGGGCCTTAATGATTAAGCCTCAATCCCTCAAGCCCCCATGTGCCCATTCAGGGTTTAACGGGTTTAGGTCGTAAGGGTTTAGGGTTTAGGTTTTAGGTCTTAAGGGGTTTAGGGTTTAGGGTTGAGGTCTTAAGGGGTTGGGTTTAAGGGTTAAGGGTTTAAAGGGGGTTCCTACCAAGCAGACACGTCAAGGCCTAAGGACATATTATATAGGTACATGGAGTCGTCCGGATTGGCGCTTTGAAAGTTCGAAACCCGAAACCCCTAAAGCCTAGTATTTCCGAAGTCTGAAATTAGTAAGTACATCAAAACCTCAACCTAACGCCTCCAAGGACGGGAAGAGAAGTCTTATAAACCAATCAGCTGGTTTAGGGCCGAGCAGGGTTGTAGTCTTTAAGGTTTTCGGGTTATGGTAGCCCTGATGCAGTCCCAGTGTAGCTCTGCTGTACCCTTTATTGAGGCTGCGGCTCCGAATATTAGTCCCAGACTGTCTGCTTCAATCCCGTGAACTGCGTGGTCTCACGGCCCGGGTTGACTAGAGTATAACATAGACATAAATAAATAAACAATGTATATATATTTATATACATATATACATAGTATGCGTGTATGCTTGTGCCGGCTCATACCCCACACTCATGGTGCCATAACCTGCTATTCTGTTAGCGTTTGGGAGTTTGGGGCTACAGGCAGTATTAACCGTAAACCTTGAACCCCGAAACCCTAAACCCCCATAGTAGCCGCTACCAGAAAAGTAACCCCCAAAAAAATACATGCTTTGAAAGCCTTAAACCGAACCCCTGAACTCAGCCAAGGCTACAACAAGTTCCGCCGCCACTGGCTCCCTGGCCAAATCTGTGCCAAAGGGCTCAGGGTTTAGCGTTTAGAGAGCGTACCTGAACCCTCTCATGGAATATAGCGGTGGAAAACAGCTGGCATATAGTACTTATATATGTTTTTCGTATACTAGTGCCTTGAAGTCCCCAGACACTGATCGTAGCATCTACCATGCGAGATTTATTAATGTAGGATTGAGACCCGCACATCCCATTCGGGGACATGGACCCTTTCGGGTCTTTCGGGGTTTTAGGGTTTAGGGTTCAAGGTCAAGGACTGGTGCCATCGACGAACACTCAGTGCCAGGAGGTGAACCGTCTCCTGCTGTTCAAACGCTGGTCCTATCGACAAGATGGAGGGGGGGGGGGGTTCCGAAAATAGGGACTCCAATATCGCACCCTAAATAGTAGGATCCTCATTGTGAGGACCCCAAAATAGGGTACTTTCTTATTTTCGGACCATATCAAGGTTTGGTCTTTAAGCTTCCAGGGGGCCCATGTGGAAGCAGGGCCCTGAGGCTGTCCAGAGGCAATCCCTGAGCATTATCTATATGTATATTATATATATATATATATATCTCCACAAAAATATATTTTTAACCATTTCGACTATATATGTCAGTAGGTTTTGTTTTTTGCATGTGAATGTGAACATGTCTGGTCCGGAAGACGTTTTCATGAAGCTCTGAGCCGTAGCCGAGACCATATATCCCGTGACTGTAAGAGCCGGCTTAGAATTTGTTTGATACCCAAGCCCACCCATAGGCCCCAAAGTAGTTCCTTTTTGGGATTACCTTATAGGATTCTAAATATGAGCCCCCAAAAGGAACTACTTTAGGGCCTACGGGTACACCCTAAGACTGAACCAGACTTAGGCGCCGCGGCAAGATTGGAATCTGAGAGCCTCACGACGACGGGACGTGCCAAAGGGACAGCTGAGCGAAACAGTGGAAGCCGTTCGGTTTTTGTTGGGTTTACTTGGTTGCTGGTGTGTGTTTGACCTTCTAAGCTTTGGGCTTCTTCGGTTTACTTGGTCGTTGGCCGTTGGTGTGTTTTTGACTTTTTAAGTTTTGGGGTACGCAGCGATCGGCAATGATTTGCTGCAGCCTTGCCGCTAGCAGTTGCCCTTTAGTGACGCTCGGTGGAGCAGACCGCCTCAATGCGAAGGTTGAATTGGGGTTTAGGGTTTAGTGGACTGCTACTTCTACAGTCTTGCCACTATAGTTACACCACTACTATACTGACTGCTACTGCTTCGATGGCTTCTTGGGCGATGAACCTATGTTCTCCCAGCTCCCGTTCCCAGTCGCCTCAACTCGACAAATAAGAAAGCCCCGCAGCACGCAACGCCAAGACACTGCTTCTTTCTCCGTTCATCACGGTTGGACCCAAAACCCCAAAACCCTAAACCCTAAGCCGTTAAGCTTTGCAGTGCGCATGTCAAGCCTTGAACTGGGCTCTAAACGCCATGCCTTACGCCCCGACTTCAGTGCGCAATTCGCATGTCTGGGTGCTCCTGAGGAATCATGCTGTATAGTTTACTGGAAAATCAAGGGGCTTTTGGAGATATGATTTTGTTTTGGATCTAAGTGGCTTCTAAACCCTAAACCCTTAAAACCCCAAAACCCTAAACCCCTAAACCCATTAACCCCTAAACCCCTTAAGCCCCAAACCCCTAAAGCCCCAAACCCCTAAGCAAAGCCCTAAATCGTAGCTGAAATCCCTAAACCCTAAACCCTAAACCCTATAAACCGTCCTGTCTTTTGGGGGGGCGGCTCAAAGCGGTCGGGCCTCGGGTTCTCGCCTGAGCCGCGAAGACGTCAATGAAGCGATGCTTGCCTGAACGAAATCAGGTTTGGGGATCAGGGATTAGGGTTTAGAGTTTAGGGTTTAGGGATTAGGGTTGAGGGTTTAGGGTTCGAGGCTTTGGGTTTGGGGTTTAGGGTTTAGGGTCCTTTATGACTTCTTTTAAGGGTACTACGAGGTAGGTGCGACAAGGGGTTTTGGGGTCAGAGGTTTTGAGGTTAGGGTGTTTGGGGTTGAGGGATTTGGGATTTGGAGCCTTTGTGTTACAGGCTATTTTGGCATCAGTGTGACTCATTAAGTATGTATGATGTCGATTTCTGTCGTTCTTGGATTTGGGAGGCAAGGTTACTTGCCTTCGGAGAAAGTTGAAGGGGCCACAACACATAGAGTAGGGCTTACCGACTGAGACTAATGGGGACCACAAGGGATACTACTAGTAGTAGTTAATTACTCAGACCAGTGCATTACCTTTCTGTATGCTTCTGAACTGGAGGGTTCAATCTGTTGTAGAACCTTTCGCAGGTGTCTGGGTTAAAGAACCCTAAACCCCAAGACCCTAAACCCCAAGACCCTAAGCCCTAAACCCTAAACCCCAAAACCATAAACCCTAAGCCCTAAACCCTAAACCCTAAGCCCTAAACCCCAAGCCCTATAAGCCCTAAACCCTTAGCCCTAAGCCCTGAACCCTAAACCCAAAGCCCTACAAGCCCTAAACCCCAAACCCGTAACATGTGTCGAGTACCCGATGTCTGGGCACTTCGACCTCCTGCAGTTCCGTTGCCTTAGGCTTTACATCTGGTGCCCTAGGGGGTCTAGTACCCTATATAGTAGGCACCTGGGGGGTTAGGGGTAGTTTTGAGAATATAGAGGCCTGATTAGGGGTTTAGGGTTTAGGGTGTAGGGTGTAGGGTTTAGGGTTTAGGGCCCCATATTCTTCCTGAGGGTTTCTTGATATCAGGATAAACAATGATACTATAGTATCACCGCCACAACCACACTCTAATCATTAAGGCTCTGGCGAGTGCATATAATATTGCAGAAGGTTGGTAAGAGCATATAGCTGTTCGTCCTGCACATTACAAGTAGACCCACACAGAACTAGGGTGATGTTGTTTGGCACCCCCTCACTTCCAATATTGGTTCCGGAGCGCTGCAGACCCTGATCTCTCGTAGGTTCTCCTGTTAGTGTGTCTTTCAATGTATCCTTAAGCTACATTCTCCTAACCGTGTGAACACGCAGAACATGCTTGTGCCGGGAGTCGTCGGCTCATTTCCTCAGGGCCACAAACTTGAGTCCCCAAGCAGGAGGGGCTCCTAAAGCTTGAGCCCCACGAAAGCAGGGCCCGAAGGTCGACCTTGGAGTTCAACCCAAATCTCACCGTTTGCGCCCCCCATCCCCGCCCGCCCCCTAAACCCTAAACCCCCTTCCGTCTCCCCGTCTCAAGGCCTGGTTTTCTTTCTCACGCTCCCTTTCATCCTCAGCCAGGACGGGGGTCCCGGTAGCGAGGGTCCTGCTGTTTGAGGTTTAGGGTTACCCTTTGAAGGTATAAGGTTTAGGGTTTCGGGTGTGTTTACTTTAGCCTTATCAGCTGAAACGCCTGAAGTCCGTCGAGGAGGAGCTGCGCGTTTTGGAGTTTAGGTATATAGGGATTTGAGTAATTCGAACAGGGTTACCGCTTATTAGCCCAATCCTTAAACCCTAAACCCCAATCCCAAAACCCTTGGTCCCAAATCTAGGGCGCGCTTAGTACGTTTGCCGGGCTTTTCGTTGCAGTCAGGTGACATCTGTGATGTGGGTCTGGTTCTGAGGTACATTCGTTTGTAGCGCACGGATGTGGAACATTGCAGGGACAGTGATTTCTGACTTTTTGGGACATGCAGAATCTTTGTAGGACTGACTTTGTGAAAGGCATGTGCATTTGCAAGCATCCTTAAAAGCAAGTGATGTTGCGCCTTCCAACGTCTGAGCTGGAAGACGCGAATGGCTACCCTCTCAGTTGACGGAGCATCGGCTCCGGATGGGACCTAAGGTCTTGCAAGGTCCCAGCTTCTCTTGGCCTGCGACTCACGCATACCCATTGGGGATAGTTATCTAGTTTGGTATCCCCCTAACAAGGTCCTTCTTGAGATGCATCCTCGTTAGTATGATACACAAGCCCGATTCTAGTTGTTCCGGAGCTCAGAGTTGAAAGCATCAGCTGGTCATGCCTCAGGCCTTAAGGTTGGCCTCAGGGTGTGGATGTTGAAGCTGGTCTTGAAAATACAAGCTTCAAACTTGCGAGCTTCAGGTGTTATGTCTACGTACAGACGTGAGAGTTTGAAATGTCGACACAACTGAGCATGCAAGTATGAGGTTTATAAGAATCGCCCCNNCCCCCCCCCCCCCCCCACCCCCTTCCAAAGAACCACAAAAATATCCACAACAAGAAGTCGTCACAGCCCTGAGCCCACTGATTTTTTGTCTATATTACTTTAACAAGACTCTGCACCACTCCATGGCAACTCCGGCAAGCCCTCACACCAGGCCTTCTCCTAAACCCCCCACGAAGCCCACAGGCTGCTCTGATCAAGGTTTAGGATTAACGCTTTTGGGTTTGGGGTGTAGGGTTTTGGGTTTAGGGTTTTGGGTTTTGGGTTTAGGGTGGTTTCGGGGTTTGGGGTTTTGGGTTTTGGGTTTGGGTTTATGAGTTTACGATTTAGGGTTCAGGAAGCCCTGTCCACACGGAAGGCTCGAAAAGCTTCCTCCCAGCCTGATGAGCACGTGGCGGCCTTGTCGGGCTGTGCTGTTCTGGGTGGAAGGAGGGCTTAATATAGAAGCTCAAATGATGACCTATATTGCTGTTAGGGTTCCGTAGTATAATATAAGCTCAAATGATTACCTATATTGCTGTTAGGGTTCCGTAGTATAATATAAGCTCAAATGATTACCTATATTGCTGTTAGGGTTCCGTAGTATAATATACGCTCAAATCATGACCTATATTACTGTTAGGGTTCCTTATTGTAATAATACTACGAAGGGTCCCAGAACCCTATTCCTCTTATTAGGGCCGCTACATGACCTATATTACTGTTAGGGCTCCTTATTGTAATAATACTATAAAGGAGCCCAGAACCCTAATCCTCTTATTAGGGCCCCTACATGGGGGTTGAGACTTGTCGGATTTTGCTATTCTGGGCTTTAGAGGACATGGTTAGAGGGTTTAGGACCCTCTCAGCCCTTGCCCTCAGCCTTAAACCCCTAAACCCTAATCCCCTAAACCCGAAACCCGAAACCGATGCCCCTGGTTCTGGAGCTTCGGGGCTTTTGGTTTAGGCTTGAGGCTTTGGCGCAGGGTGACGGACCCTAACTTCTAGCAGCTAGCATTTACGGTTCCAGATTCTGCTGATCTTCACGATTCCCGAAACGAAGGAATAGTTACTGGGCTTTGCTGGTGATGGCACTTCCGGGATTCCAGGTCTACACCGCAGCTTGATGACCGGTGGCTGGACGGCAGCGGAAACTGCTAATGGTGGGGTCTACTGGTGCAATCCGACGGGGCGTTGCACCAGTCTGAGGCGACCCCATCTGTTAAACGAGGACATTCGCTGGACAGAAATTGGATGGAGAACGGTGCGCTGAACCATCGCAGTTATGGCACCGGCATGCTGTACCAGGAGAAGTTCCTCTTCTGGTATCACCCCATCTCCGGGGTGACTGAGCCCTTCTCCACGTGGGTCACGGAGTGACGCTTGCACTACACCGAGGAGGCGGACTCAAACCTGGTCGAATCCCTTTTGCCTTTCAGGGACCCCAAACCCTAAACTAAACCCTAAACCCTAAACCCTAAACTAAACCCTAAACCCTAAACCCTAAACTAAACCCTAAACCCTAAACCCTAAACTAAACCCTAAACCCTAACCCGGTCTGGACCGCAAGGCATCCGGCCCGGACTCGACCCAGGACTCCCGACCTCATGCCCGGGACTCGACCTTTGCCCCAAGACCCAACCCTAAACCCTAAACCCTAAACCAGGGTTTAGGGTTTAGAGTTTAGGGTTTAGGCTTTAGGGTTTAGACACCTCTGAGAGACTCACACCTCACACCCCCGGTATCAAGAAATCTTGATGGGCCTGAGAGGTCAGAACAGGGTTTTGGAGTATAGCATATTGAAACTATGTGGGTAGTTTTCAATATTAGGGTCCCTTTTTAGGTCTCCATTATAGTACGGCACCCTTATAAAACGGACCCTAAAAGAGACCCTAANNTTTAGAGAACTACCCATGTGAAGGAACCCTGAAGAATAGTATTGAAGCCCTTGTGTTTGAACAAGGATCGTTCGTTCATCAGGGACACTTTAACGAAGGGACACATAGATCTTGGGTCAATCAAACATTTTGCAGATGCTGCACGCAAGACCTGCCCTTAGTAAGATTGGCGTTCATCTACTTGAACCTTCAGGGGCCACAGGATGCAACAACTATGTATTTGGGTTTGGGATACTGGAAGAATTATGAGTGTTGCTTTCTGAATGTGAGCGAACAGTGAGGCAGTATATGATTCTGCGGGTAACGGGCTCCTTAGAAGGCTATTGCCGCCTTAGAAATGAACCCCAAACAACGAACCAAGACCCTCCTGAACCCTGACTTTTCGGATGTAGGGTTTATGAGGGATTTAGTGGGGTTTAAGCTTTGTTCTGCAGATGCTTCAACGGTTGCACTACTTGCTGCCCAAACCAGACAGTCGGCCGTGACCGTAGAGTACTTTGACCTCTATGCTGTTGGGCACAGCGGGACCCTTGTAGAGGCCCTGATTACGCCGCAAAGTCTTCAAGTCCAACAGAAAGTGCAATAATGGGTCGGAAAAAAATTGAAAATCTTCATCGTTAAGGACTGTGAGTCTACTTTAGTATGCACCCCCCCCGGCCAAAAAGCAACCCCTTCTTCTAAGTTACTAAGTAGTAAGGCCCAGATACTGAGGTGACCGCATCCCACGAACCGGCGCAGCCGAAGGTGACGGCGCTGAGCCAGGTTGAGGTTCAGGCCGGGTTAAGGGTTTGGGATTTCGGGTT